CTGCATCAGCCCATCCCACGCCTTAATCTGAAGACAGCCCTGAGCGTTCCCCCAGAGCCGTGTTTTCGGTTGGAAACCCCACTCGGGCGGGGGGCTCCGGGGAGGGGAGCGCAGTGTTTGGGGGCCCCTCGCCCCCCATGGCCAGCGCTGGGGAGGGATGGGGTGGCTGCCGTGGCACTGGCGTGGTTGGGCATCCACGCTCTGGCACCAGACCCGAAATCATCGCCGGCAATGTGAGCGGGAGACAGCGCCCGAGCGAACGAGTCGTGTTTGCTAGCAAAGGCGGTAGCAACAGCAAAGAGATGTTGGGCTGCGAGTTGCAAGGATGGTAGTGAGATGCTTTAAACCTGCAAGTGTTGTGGCTCTCCTACAAGTATTGTGGCTCTCCTACAAGTATTGTGGCTCTCCTGTAATGCCTGGCTCGGTTCACACAGCTGCAACCAGTAACACCACCCACCGGACCGGGGCCGAACTACAAAAACATCAAAGGGATTTTTCCCTGGACCTACTGTGCACATGCCCTGCTGATAAATTGCAATATTTTCCTTCTGCTGGTGATGCTGTTTGAGCATGGGTCTAATCTGAGAAAGATGCTGCTCTGCAGCGAAACATCCGTGTGCATCCTGCCCTGCCCTCGCTTAGCAGCCTGAAAGATCAGGAAAAGTAAGAGTTGTTTAAAAAAAAACACATGCAAGCAGCCCAGCATGGTCAGAGGGAGAAAAGCGTGTGTTAGATTAATCAGAGATTAGCTGCTGGGGTGTTTAGGAAACCGGGCTGTGGGCTATTCCCATAATAAATCTCGCCACGTGGTTCCTAGCAGCCACAGCAAAGAGGAGAAGCCAGCGTAACTTGCGGAAAGTGCAAGTTATCTGTGAAGTGGATGTAACGAAGCAGGTCTCGTTACTCTGTTGGGATGCCTGGGTACGCAGCGGTACAGGGAGGGTCGTTGGAAAAAGTACTTATTTTGGGGGGAAGGAAAGGAAAAGAAGTGAATTTTTGAAAGCAGAACTTCAGTAAGTTGTGTTTGTGCCTGATTTATCCCCGTTGCTGTCCAAATTGCTCCGTGCGTGTGTTTATGCTGCAACTTGGCAGTCAGTGGCTCCTGACTTTGGGGTGTGTTTTGCTGGCCCCGCCAAAGAGTTCTTGGCCGCACTTTAAAAGTTTTTCTGTTCTGAGGGCTTTTTTCCCCTCCCCTCCGTGGGTTCATACACTCTATATGTGGTTAGCAGCGAGGTAACGCGTCTCTGCGCTCTGCTGAATTTAATAAACCCTCCTGCGTTGGTGTCAATCAGCGCTGGAGCAGAACGCCTCGCTGCGGGGACGGATGCTGCGTCGGGAGCGGTGCCGCGCTGTGCGGGACGGGATGCTCTGCTCCCACCCTGGCTGTTTTCAAACTCCCCAAAATGCTGGCC